CGGAGCGTTCCTCCTGCTCTGTCCGGTGCTGGTGTGGGGTGAAAATCCTCCACCTCAGACGTTCAGAGATGGAACTGTCTGTGATACTGTGGTCACTTTCCATGTAGCGTCAATTATGCTAATGCTAGCTGTCACGTTCTCTCATCCTGGCCACACCTCCGCTCTCTAACCCCCCTTCCCCACCCACACCCCCTCCCCTTCCCACTTTGATGCATTTTTCAAATTTCACCTTGGGGCGGAGTTATCTTTTCACAGGGGTGGGGGTGGGGGGGTAAGAAACACTTTAAACTGGTGTTGAGTGGGGTGGAACCGTAGACAAGCAAGCCTGTGGAAAAACACCTAGAGCCGCTGCTCCTCCACATCAAGAGCAGCCAATTGAGGTGKTTCAGGCATCTGGTACAGGATGGATACCTTAATAAGAAGGTGCTTCAGGCATGTCCAACTTGAGGAAGACCCCCCAAGGAAGACCAAGGACACACTGGAGAGACTATGCCTCTTGGCTGGCCTGCATTGGAATTCTCCCAGAAGTACTGGAAGAGGTGGCTGGGGAAGAGATGTCTAGGCTTCTCTACTCAAGCTGCTGCCCCAAGACCTGACTCTGGAACAAGGGCAAGATCAAGACCTGACTCTGGAAATAAATTGGTGGATGTGCGGATGGACGGACTTCAATTCAACAATCTGAAGTTGACCCTAACCACCTTTTAGACTAGATATGTTATGTATTTTAATCATCCCCTACTATAAGAGTCATCAATGCATGTGGATGTGTCTGCCTGTAAGAAAAATATATTTTTAAACCACTGGATGGATTTTAATAAACCTCTCAAGAAGTAATCACTATGTATGTTTACATCTAATTAACTTTTTCGAGTCAGCCTAATTCAAGATGGCAGCCATAGCTTAATTGACTCCGTGAGCACTAACTAATTATACATGTTTGTTTAAAACTCAGGTATCCAAAGCAGTGGGTGACATGCATTTCTTTCACAAAATTCTATTTGTACAAAAATCATTCCTTGCCTCTTCTTAACCATACTGCCCTGTTTAAAACAAGGACATGCTAATATTCTCTCCTGTTGTTTTATTTTCTTAATATAAAAATAAATTCTGTTGCGTGTTAAAGGTGGCCAGACTGTGGAGAACTCCAAACCTCAGCAACCTTTGGTGCAACATAACAGTAGAGGTGAGTGGGACAGCAGGGTGGTATGGCTTTCTGAAAGAGTTTTTTACCAAAGAAAGTCTTTGTTTTGGTTGAATTTGGTGTTTTGTGGCAATGATGCAAATGACTTTAAAAGAGGAATATACTGTATAATCAGATAACTTTGACGCTTAGTCTGGTTTTCTTGTAGTCTGCTGCTGAGGCCTGGACTTACAGAGGACCAGCTTGRTTTTATAATAACCAAGCTGTAAACTGAATGCAGGCATTTTTCCTATTTCTTTGTTTGCCCTGTGCAGTGATGCAAACATACAGTACTTTTTTTAAATTGTTGACTTGTTCTGTTATTCAAACAGTACGTGATTATCTTTATATTCACTTTTGCTGCATTTTAGTTTCTAACAACAGTTTCCAATGTACACATTGTAGTAAAAACACTTTCCCATAACTCTGTCACAGATTTTCAGTACCTTCTTGTGTCTGTTTTTGTCATTTACTCATTCCTGTTACAGCAGGGACAGTTTGGTTCCCTCTGTCCATTTTGTCCTTGCAGTCACCTGATCAGAGGATGAGAGCAGCTTTGCTCAGATGTGAGTACTTCAAATTTCTTCAAATAAAGTTGACTCCAAAAGCTTCAATTCTACATCAATAAGTGAAGTTGTGTGCATGTGTGTGGCGGTAGAGGTAACTGTTCGAACTACYTTCAAACTTTGTATTTTACAAGATTAAATTATCCATTTTCCTCCTGCAGTTAAATGCAAACAAGACAGAGACTCGTATTGTTGCCCCTGATGATAAAATCCCTGTAATCAGGCAGCACCTTGCTTTTTTAACYCCTTCAGTGAAAAATAGTCTCAGAAATCTGGGTGTTGTCTTTGATAGTTCCATGTCTTTTGACAGCCATTGTAAAACTTTAGTTCGTAACTGTTTTTAATATTTAAGAAACATTTCAAAGCTGAGATCTTYTGTGTCACAGAAGGAACTCGAGATGGTTTTTCATGTTATTTCTTCTCGTTTAGATTACTGTACCAGTCTTTTTACATGTCTAAACAAATCCTCCTTGGCTCGGCTTCAGTCTGTGCAGAACTCTGCAGCGAGGTTATTAACAAAGACCCACAGGAGAGCCCACATTACACCTGTTTTAGCCTCTCTGCACTGGCTCCTGTGCATTTGAGGAGTCATTTTAAAATTTTAGTTTTAACTTTCAGAGCGCTTCATGGTCAGGCCCCCAAATACATACYGGACCTTCTGAAAGCCTCTCTGTCCATCCAGGACTTTGAGGTCTTCTAATCAAATGCTGCTGGTGGTCCCTCAAACCCATTATAAAACCCGTGGAGACAAAGCTTTTCAGGTGGTGGCCCCGAGGCTCTGGAACGCTCTCCCTCTGTCCCTTCACTGCTCAGATTCTACTGACTCTTTTAAGAAACTTCTTAAGACATTTTTATTCAGACAGGCTTTTAGTTAATGTGCTTTTTATTGTTTTTTAATTATTGTTTTTTATATTTGTGATCTGTTTTATTGTTTTTTTAGTTATTTTGCTCTCTGTTAAGCACTTTGTGATGTTTGTGTCTGCGAAAGGTGCTATAGAAATACGGTTTACTTACTTACTTACTTATTTTGTGAATACCCAAATATCTGTTCCACAACAACAATGATAAAAAAATTAATCCCCCAAATTTTTAAGTTTAAAATGCTTCACTCAGTTAATATTTCAGTCAGCTAACAGTGTGTAAAATGCATTTTCTTTAGAAAGTAATAATCCTCTTAACKAAGTTTTACTTACAGTAGTTTACTGACTGTAACAATTGGTAAAAGTGTTTCTGGCTTAAACTATGTATTCATCCATCATTCAACCATCTTTCCTAATTTGGTTATTCTTTTAGCAGTACAAATTGATAACCATGCATTTATTTTATACATTTAAACTTTGTAGCAACAACGTTTTTTACAGAGGTAGTTATGTACTTTATCTGCAACTGGTTTAATGAGATACAAACTGAATGACATTAGGGCTGGGCAGTATGCTGAAAAATGTGTCACGATAAACGCATTTCAAACCAGTCGATACTGATAGTTATTGATAAGTTATTTGTTTTACATATTTGAAATGAGAAACAGGAGAAAAAAGGCTGAATTTAATTATTTTCATTTTAAACGAAGGCTATTTAACTGGTGGTGCAGTAGTAGTGTTTTGCTTACCATTTATGGGGGTGGGGGGGCATGTTTTTGCTACATCGTGGGAACAATTTTCCACAAAAAGGCAACCTCGAGGGGACCAAATGTGCATTGTGGGGACCAATGCACGGGTACAGATGCTAATTATGGGTTGGGGGGGTAGGTTTAGGACTAAGGTGTGAATTGAGTTTAGGTTAATTTTAGGGTAAATTGTGGGGCTTAGGCTTTAAAATTACCTGAAAAAGAATGGAAGTCAATCCACAGTCCCAACAGTGATACAGAAACAAACCTGTGTGTGTGTGTGGGGGTGTAGGGGGGGGGGGGCATTTTGTTGAATAGACCTGTTTTAAACATAATCTTTAACCTCTAAAAAGAGGTCTACACAACCATGAAAAGCTRTCAAATAATATGGTACTACTGCCAAGTACTTCTTGATGGTTGTCTGTTCCTGTTTGTGCRTTGCTCCACTGCCAGATGTCAATGACTGTGACTTTGCATAATTTGCAGACAACATCGGCCTGACTCTTGTCGTTCTTAAAATATCCAAAATAGTGCTAAACTGGTGACGGACTTTTCCTCTTTTATCCACAGTTTTCTCTTGAGCTGTTGTACTCATTTTCTCCTTCCCCTCTACATGGTTCTTTTTTATTTTAAATCAGTTCTGAGGCACGGTGGTGAAACATGAAACTGTGCATGTCACCTAGACACCAACCTTGTTTAGTTGGGCAGTGAGACATCGATTGGCTAATGCCTGCATCACCCAGAATGCAGTGCGGTTCTGGATTAAAGTTCAGTGAAATGATCAACATGTTATCTGATATACAATATTTTCTGTTGATGTGTATCACATGTCTATGACAGTAGATATTGTTATTGTTTTATTGCCCAGCCCTTGGTGAAACACTTATAGCCATTTATTACCATGGTTATTACCAGCCCTTATACATGAAGCAGCCATTTTGGATTTTCAGGTTTAGCTGGTTTTATGATTTTAGGGGCATTCCAGTTGATGTTTTCCCAACTTGAATTGCAACACTCCAACTTCTAAGTACAAATAAATCATCATTGGTGCTTTTATATGTTTCTTGACCAGGATTCTTAAAAGAAATAATTTTTCTTTTAGGGGGGATTGTAAAAATCTAAACCCCTGCCTCTTTTATTGTTTCTTTCCTTTTTCAGTCTCTTGTCAGCTGTCATTGGACCCCAATACAGCCCACCCTGCCCTGGTTCTTCTGGAGGAGCCAGCAGGCGCTCACTGTGGCAAGGAGGCTCAGCCCTACGCCCCTCACCCACACCGTTTTGACTCGGTGACACAGGTCCTGTGTAGGGAGGGTCTGTCTGGGGTTTCCAGGTACTGGGAGGTGGAGTGGAGGGGCGGGGGATGGGTCGACATCGGCGTTACATCGCTGTCAATCGTACGTAAAGGTGGTGGGAAGCCCTCCCTGCTCGGGCGCAATGAGAACTCATGGAGGCTGAGGTTTACACGGACCGGTTTTGCTGCTTGGCATGATAACCGAAAGACCACGATGGCGACACCCACCTCCCAGAGGATCGGCGTGCTACTGGAGCATCAGAAAGGGGCCTTGTCCTTCTATAGCGTGTCGGACACTGTGGTGCTCCTTCACACGTTTAACTTCCAGTTCTCTCAGCCTCTGTATCCGGCTTTCCGTCTGGATTTGGACTCCACGCTGTTGATCTGCCCCCTCTGAAGGAGGGCAGTAGAACCAAATGGTATCACCCTCATCATTCATTCCTGTTTGTCCTGTGAAGAACGAGGCTCTTCTCTCTGCAGATGAATTTGAAACTAAAAATGTAACAAAAAAGGAGCAGAGAGGTCATCTTTATCATTAAACTGCATTCCAAATTATTATGCAAATTAGATTTTTCTCTGATGTTCCTGAATAGTTGATGCAAATGACAAATTTCAAGTCATCAGCTGTTAGAGTGTAATGTTATTGATAATATCTGTATTTTCTAAAGTTAAAAACTCAAAATGCAAGCTTCCAAATTATTCTTCACAACAGAGTTACAAAATGTTTTATTAGTTGTGAAGAACTGAGAATGGTCATTTGTTGAATGTGCAGCAGTAGGAGGTCATATTCACTGAAATTAAAAGCTATTTCAATCAAAAACCTGTTAACAGATCAGGTTACATTTTAATGTATGATCCCTTGAACTGATGAGTTTTTGGAGAGTTTCTACTTGAATTCTTTGCAGCATGTCAGAATAAATAGCCTCCCAGACCTGCTGTTTGGATGTGAACTGCCTCCCACCCTCATAAATCTGTTACTCCAGAGGTTCTCAATCAGAGTTGAGGTCAGGGGAAGATGGGGGCCACACCATGAGATGCAGCGGTGTTGCAGCATGAGGTGCATTGAAACACAAAGATGGTTTTTATGGGCTAAATCTTGTGCCAGCAGGAACTGAATTTGAATTGCTCAGATTGAATCTGAATGTGCACAATTTGAAATTGAATGCATTGGTTTGAAAACGAATTTAATGGTTTGAAACTGAATTTAAACCTTCCTCGATGTGACTTTATCTGCACAAACTCATGTGCTCTGAATTAGCTACAAATCTCTCAACAGTATAATAATCATGCTTAAGTTTTCTTGAAATATCTAAGGTTTTAATACATTATCCAAGGCATTCAACTATTTTACTTTTTTTTTGGCAGCAGAGAGATCCATTTTCTTTGCCATATTGCTTGATAATGGTGATCTGCTTAATAAAGTGGAAAGTCCTTCAGTACTTTTTTAATGAGCTCACCTGGCAAGCTAATCATCACAGGTTGATTTCAGTAATCCATCGAGCCAGGAGACACAACAACATCCATGATTTTAAATTAAAAACAAAAAAGCGGGTCTTCATGACAAATACAATTTGTATAACAATTTGGCATTCAGTGTAGACAGAAACATCAGAGGACAACTTTCTGTTTCATCACCAGCATTCGGTTTATTCTGATTTTATTTATTAAAATGGTTTTGACTTTAAATTCTTTAGAACACAAACTGCATGTCTTCCAATTCAACCAAATGTCAGATGTAATCAGATCCTTACCTAGCTGTTAAGTCAAGGTAAATTTTATTTTTTTATTTTTATTTTTTTACAAGAACTAAACTGGTTTCACATGCGACACGTCGGTCACAAGAGCTTTAAACTTTTACCCAACAGACACAATCAATCCAGCTTCTCTTAGGACAACAATCCACTTGAAACCACAATTATTGTGCAGTTTTCCATTGACCTCACCTTCCCTTTCATCTGATCCTGACCACAGCAGTGGTTTGTTATGGCATAGATATGTTCAGGTGTTTCTTAAAAGCACTTTTGATTACAGGAGATGATGATCACCTTGACTGAGCACTGTGTAAGGCCTTTAAACAAATTATTAAAGTGGATTCTTATCAGACAAAGAAACACTACAGAATGTTTGCCTTGAATTGTGATTGTGCATATTGAAGAAAAATACCATTAAGTGACCTTTATCTTTTTAATCTGTAAAGTTTTGACAAATTTTCAATACAAGTGTTTGTTGCTGAAAAATATGATTGAATGTATTTTTTTTGGGGGGGGGGGTGTTTTAATTAACATATTTACTATCACAACACTTTGTCTTCGCTGTGATCTGTTATATAAAAGTAATTGTTCAATAT